GATTGAGATAGAAAGTTGAGTAGTTTTAAAACATAAATATTCATGGTTAGGGCACATCATACCATTATGGATGAGGGACCCATGCAACAATTACAACACTACAATAACAGCGGTATTTGAATTCTTTGTATGCCTTAAACCCCCTCCCCCTCTCCAGTTTATGTACATTTTTGATAATTTTATATAATCTCCTTATCAAATTTATCAAATGAACATACCTCTACTTTGGCTACTTGTCTGGATCAAATTTGTTTTTAATATAGAAATAATTCTTCAGGAGTATTTTGGTTTTTTAAAGTTTTTGAACAATCGTATGAGAAAAGCTAAACATATATAATAAAGCTATTGTGTTTTTTATACTAAAAGCAAGTTCCATATCCAATTGTTACTTTTCATGCAATTAAATTACTGAAAAATACTTTATTTTCGCTGAAGGGATGATTCAGTAAAAAAAATTCAGCGAATATACCTTTTTTTCTATACTATATTCAACTCATCAAAATTAAGTAAAAATAAATTCCATACAAAACACTGAAAAAGTTATTTCAGTGAAAATAAAGTACTTTACAGTAATTATTTATATTTATCACCACAAGACATTGTAATTATTTGCTTATAGAAAATTTAAATGATAAGAAAATGCAACTTTGATATCCATGTATGATGATGTGCAGTGAAGATCCAGTTCCACATGTTAGACAATTAAACGTTTTTTACGCAAAATCAGAAAATACTTAGAAACTTAGAAAACAGAAATGAACCGGATAATTGTAATATTCAAACAATTTGTGAAAATAATCACTAGTAAAACAGTCCGAGAAGAACACTAAGCAGAAGTACTCCTTTGCATTAGTCTTTCTGGAAATGTTCATTAGTCGTGTGATTTTGAGATCATCTCACAATTCGTGAATTTTTTTTTTTTTCAATTTTTGTGACGACTTCATCGCATACCTTGCAAACCCTCATCTTATAAATCATAGCCTTTAGTCAATGGTGATATATGCAAATTAGCTAATTACATATTCATAGAACAGAACAAATATTTCATAAGTGCTTCTTATATATATATACACACACGTAAAATGATTGAAAAAGAAATTTTAAGATAATGTAAAATATTTTACATGGAAAACAACAAAAACTTTTCTGTTATGCTACAGAAATTGACATCATTTGAAATGAAGCATAAATCAAAGGTACATTGTGTCTGTATGGCTTAGTGACTGACCAAAAATTATGTCTGCATGGCCTAGTGGATTATGACTGAAAAAGGGATAGACCATTTGAAATTCAATTGAGGAAGACAGCAAGCTGGAGTCTTGAGGTAATTTTGTGAATGGTCCATCCCTTAATTATTTGTACGGTGTACCTGCTTGACATAATAGCAACAAGTTGCAAAGAACGAAAACATAAAAAACTTATTCACAGAAAAAAAGTACATTTCTGAGTCATTTCCTGGAGCAGTTTAGTTAGTGTAAATTTGCTCAGCGCTTGATCATACAGTTGAAAAAAGAAATAAAACAAGAAAAAGCTAATATGTTCTTTTTCAAGAAAAGGATCATGCGAAAGCAGAATAAGAAATGTAAAGATGCACTATACAACTTGGTTTGAAATATGTTAAGTTTTGATAATAAAGCATGTAATAGACTAGTTTAGTTTATATTGAGAAGTGGCAAAGAGGTTAGAGGTTAAAGGTTAGAGGTCACTCACTTTGGTAACAGCATGAATGCTGTTGCTGGGTTAGAGCCTTATATTGGGCAGCTGGTAGTTGGTGCAAAAAAGTCAGAGAAAATTGTTATTAGTAGAGAATAAAAGACAAGCTAAGACACACACACATTATAATGGTGCAGAATTGTCAGTGCCAATGTATGTGCAGAGATAACAAAAAAAACAAAACGCAAGCATGCTCGGAAAGACGCACCACAGGAACACCGACAAGGGACAACATAACCGGATCAAGTCATGGCAGCTGTGCTCACCAGAGTTTTGTTGCCAGCTCTGTTCCATCCATGGGGTGGTGCCATCACGATTCAATGAAGCAATTTCTGTGAAAAACAAAACAAAATGTCAATTATTAATTAAGATTCTCTCATAGATACTTTCCCATATTTGCTCAAGTCGAAGTTCATCGCCAATAAAAATGCATGGAAGACAAAAAGTAAAAGTATGAAGAGGTCAAGTACCTACCTGTTTGTACTAGTTGATGTATCTCCTGGCTGTCTGGAAACGTGATCTAGTAAGACAATTGATACACAAAATATTTGTAATCCCTTCATAATAAAGACTATAACAGAGTGCATGCAATTACAATACATTTATGTTTGTCATCTTTATATCACCTGAGTTGCTCTAGAAATGTCACAACACATCTCAAATTCATATATGCCTCAACAATCATAAATACATTTATCACTAGATCTTTGTAATATATTTCCAGGATATAAATAGCAGCCAATCTACTACAAGTAAATGTAAACATGAGAGATAACAATGACAACGACGAGAATGAAGACAGACTCATTCCCTTCCATGTTTTCTCTCCAACTTAAATTTTTCACTTTTGTGCACACATTTTTCTGCAATTTGTTTTATATTCTTCAATATTTTTTGAAAATGAACCCTAATGTTGGGAGCCAATAGTCAAAATTTGAGTCAATTTACAGTTTTTACTGAAAAAATTTTGCAATTTTTGTTCCAATCTTCTGAAAAAAGTTGCAAACTATAAACAGGACTATTTTGTGAATTTGTGATGAAAAGAGGGAACTGGTGATGAAACATGAAATAAACAAATCAAGCCAGAAATGATACGAGAATGTTGTTCAATACTCTGTACAGTAAATGAGTAATCTTTGAAAGAATGAATTCAGAAAAATTAGTGGTATTTTTCCACCCAACATTCACTTTTTTCGGTAAACAAAGAAGAATTACAATTCATACCAAGCTTGATATTGTCAAAACAGTTTGACTGCTTCTTCTTTCTTCGTCTGTACAGCACAATACTAAACACAAGCAGTGACATCCATATGATGACACCTATAGTGCCAATAAACCAAGGCTGGGATACCACTCCACGAATTTTCTTTGCTAAGCTGGGAGATTGGGGCTCCATGTTAGCAACTAACACAGGATCTGTGAATATATAATATAACCATGATTTTAATACACTATGTAGTCAGATCTCCACGAAATTCCATAATTTCAGTTACTGTACTCTTATAGGTTGCATCTCTTAAAGGGAGGTAGTCATCAAGCCATGCTCATAGAAGAAAAGATGGCGACTTTGACTGTTGCGCAGATCAACGAGTACAAACGGGGACGTTACCAAGTTTTAATTAGGTATTTTTTAGGTGATTGGAAGGTATCAAAAGAGTCACTGGCGGTAATTAGTACAAGTCGTGCCCAGGTCAAACCTCATACTTGTAATTTCCATTATAAGAGCGCATTGGATGGTGGGAAAATCAATGTTTATCAACACAAATGTCGTACATGTGCGGCACGACGACCACCGTCGTTTAATCAAGCATACGTGTACAATGAATACAATTTCTGGTTCAAGAGGATCTAAAAATAAACCATTTATTTTTCACTGCTAGAGATTACAGGATTTGATGGCATTTATGAAGACAAAAAGAAAGTAGAAGAAATTTTCACTGCAAGAAAAATTGCAGTTTTTATTGATTCGCAAAAGAAATGTGTTTGTGGCACAACAAAAACAGTACCTATTCGTTTCACTTAATGCATTATTTTGGCTAAATTCTTTCATAGACACTACACTGAGCCAGCTGTTTACACAACACGACACCCTTCCTCTCTTCCCAACTCTCATCCAAAAGACGTAAAATCATATTCTTACCAAGCTGTACCAGCTGTGTTTCACTAGCGATACCAGCTCCACCATTTGTGAAGGATGTGACTTTTACCACATATAACATTCCAGGCACAAGATCATTGAATAAATACGAAAACGTGGTATTATCGGTTGTTTTGTTGACATTGAAACGAGTTTCATTACCCTGACACCAAATCTGAAATTAAAGAAAAAAAATATATTTCAATAAAAATAATAATTGGTAATTCAAAACTTGATTTTGATTGGTCAATTCAAAACTTGATTTTGATTGGTCAATTCAAAACAGTTTACTGGTAGTTTCTTTACTCCAATAAACTTACATGTAGTTTGACGTTTAATTAACAACACATAAGCGTGATAGTGCAACTGATTTATATAATCTAATCTTGTCACCTATCTGTATACAAAAATCTGTTCCCATATTGCACCTAATGCATCTTGGGTAAATCTATTGGCAAAGTGAGTTCAAGAGAAAAACCAACACAACACATAAACATAACTACCTTATATCCACGAATTATTCCATTCTGATGGTCTTTTGGAGGAGGCTGCCACTCAACAAGAATAGCATCACTGCCATTACTTTTAGCAGTCACACTCCTCGGGGGAGCACTAGGAGATGCCATTAGTGTTGTCACTTCCTTGGGAGCACACTCATTGCCGTTTATAACTGCATTAGATCCATAATTAAATGGTGCAGCTGTTATTTTATAATGAGTGAATGGGCTCAGCTGACCAATCGAAAACTGTCTAAGGCTGTTTCTCCCCCTTGATTCATGGTTGTTTGATACCGTTTCAATATGCTCAGAGCGGCTCTTTACAGCAGTAACTTTCAGATGAAATCCATCAATGTTATTGTGGTGTTTTTCAATCTGCAATTAAATAGGGGGGATGTCATCAACATAAAACAGCTAACTTATGCTACTTGCACTGACAATAATGCATACACAGAGTAAGTGAAATTTAGAGTTTTTAAAAGCAGCGGAAGCATTCAGTAATTGACACCGCCAGATTTGATTGAATTAATTAACTATTGACCGTTTTGACTTACATGCAAAAATACTGTAACTTCTGTAGCACTACTGGCTTCAATTTTTGAAATTGTAATTCCAGCTTCGTTGAGTTTACTCAATACATCCAGATCAGCTGTCTCTTGAGCTGCGGCTGGGACTATGCCTGAAAAAGTATGCCAGGAAGTTGTTGTTAACACATACGAGAAAAAATGTTAACACATACGAGAACACATACGACAGACGTCCACACATCAGGGGTAAAATGAAATTTCCGTAAGTCAGCAGATGGACAACGAGAACACATATGACAGACGTCCACACATCAGGGGTAAAATGAAATTTCCGTAAGTCAACAGATGGACAACGAGAATACATACGACAGACGTCTACACATCAGGGGTAAAATGAAATTTCCGTAAGTCAACAGATGGACAACGAGAATACATACGACAGACGTCTACACATCAGGGGTAAAATGAAATTTCCG